GTGTGTTTCAGGATGTGGAGCAGTACATGTTGCGGACGGGCACCGTGAACAGCATGGAGAGCTCTCATTCACTGCCATCCATGTCTATCAGTGCCAGCTCCCAGAGTTCCTCAGTGAACAGCCTCGCCGATGGGTCAGATGACAGCGGAGAGATGGCCATGATGCAGGAGGGCGAGCACACCGTGACCTCCAACAGCTCTGTGCTGCACAAAGCACTGGTACGTGTCCATGGCTTTGTTTGAGTGTGTATGTGTATACAGATGACACATACAGTTGGATTAGTCAGGTAGAGATTTCAGGGAAAGCATGCAACTCCGGGTTGCCGCTATTCATTTTCAATTGAAGCGTTAGGAAGGTTTTCCCCATGCCGACTCTGCTCCCAAGGCCTCACCCCCCACTATGACACAATATCGACCAAATCAGATTTGGCCATGAACATTTTGGATTAGGGGTCACGAATCTCGGTCCTAGAGGGCTGGTGTCCCTGCAGGGTTTAGCTCCAACTTGCCTCAACACACCTGCCTGGATGTTTCAAGTATACCTAGTAGGACCTTGATTAGCTTGTTCTGGTGTGTTTGATTAGAGTTGGAGCTAAAATCTGTAGGGCACCGACCCTCCAGGAACAAGTTTGGTGACCACTGTTTTAGATCATTGCATCACTATTTTTTATGATTCTTTCTTCATTTTGGCTCTCTGTCCCCACACAGAATCATGACAACATCTATGACGACCCCTACCAGCCAGAGATGGACTCCCAGCAGCAGCAGCAGCAGGGCCCGTCTGGGGGCCGCAGACGCAGAGGACGAGACCACTTCGCCACCATCCGCACGGCCTCTTTGGTAACCCGTCAGATCCAGGAGCACGAACAAGGCTCAGCGCTGAGAGAGCAAATGTCTGGATACAAGCGCATGCGGAGGCAGCATCAGAAGCAGCTGATGGCGCTGGAGAACAAGCTGAAGGCCGAGATGGATGAACATCAGCTCAGGCTCGATAAAGAACTGGAGACGCAGAGGAATAACTTCGGCAGCGAAGCAGACAAGCTCAGCAAGAAGCACCAGGCCATTCTGGAGAAAGAGGTAAGTGTTGGAGAACGTGCTTGATGGCTCCTGCTTTTCATTTGTTCCTGAATGATTATGTTGATCCATTCATGATGACCGTCACATGCTTCCAGTGTATCCCCTACCATTGTATTATGTAGATTCAAATAATTTGACCTCTTATGTAGCGTTCACACCAGTTTCTTAAATAGAATGCGGTATTCGTATGTAATTAGACGCATGAAAGTTTACTCTGTTTATTCACACGTCAAATTCACTTAACAATAGATGCAGATTCCCATCATGATAAGAGCATCTGTCTGCCCAGTGACTCCAGTTTTGTTGCAAATGGCTAACTTGGACTATCGAGAGATAAGTTGTTCTTTAAGCGCTTTAGGAAGGATGAAAAACCTCATAGATTCATTCGGTGTCGTGTCTGGGTCCATTGGATCCTTCAGAGGTGCACCTAGCTCTGTGAGTTCATCAACTCCTCTGAAAGCTGTTGCCGGAGGACGACCGCTTTCAGTGATACTTTCGACTAAGCCGGTCCCAGTTTGTTCAGCTGTTGTTGGTAGCAGGATTTCCCCTCGGGACACCTGCAGATTCAAGGTCATAATCAGGCCCATACTAGAGCAATTTGTGCCATGTCATTTGCCTGATTCACATCATTCGCGCTGCAGGAGGTCTAATTGCTTCTTGATGTTTCATCCGCGTCTGTTTTGAACTTACCATTATAGAATGTAAGAGCTTTGGAAAGCTGAAATGGTAGTACATTGAAATTAAACTGTTTCTTATTCTTTTCTTACCCTTTAGACGAAAGGTGCTATTGCAGAAGAGAAGAAGTTTCAACAGCATATCTTGGGTCAGCAGAAGAAAGAGTTGACTAGCTTGCTGGAGTCTCAGAAACGCCACTATAGGCAGCGAAAAGAGCAACTGAAAGAGGTAGATGAGCTTCCAGTTTTGGGGGATTGACAGTGGCTTCGCTCAGATGTTGTGTTGAATATTTTCGCTCTGTCTGCAGGAACTCAATGAGAACCAGTCAACGCCAAAACGAGAGAAGCAGGAGTGGCTTGTTCAACAGAAGGAGTGTCTCCAACAGGTCCAGGCAGAGGAAGAGGCAGGGTTACTGCGCAGGCAGAGGCAATACTATGAACTGCAGGGACGCCAGTATAAGAGGAAGATGCTGCTGTCACGTCACAACCTGGAGCAAGACCTGCTCAGAGAGGTACTGAGTTAGTGAAAGTGCACCAGGGGAGCAGTTGGGGGACCGGTGCCTTGCTCAAGGGACTTGCCTCAGCTGTGGTATTGAATGTAGTGAGAGTGCTGGTTATTCACTCCCAACACCTACAATCCTAGTCTGTGCTAGGACTCAAACGTGCGACCTTCCGTTCACAAGTCTAACCATTAGGCCAAGGCTGCTAATGACTTCCACACCCCCTACCCTTTCCATTTAGAGCAGGGGTGTCCAACCCTGTTACTGGAGATATACCTTCCTGCAAAGTTCAGCTGCAACCTTGATCAAACACACCTGTCTTCAATTACTAAGTGCTCCTTCAATTCCTGCTTAGTTGGTTTAGTTGTGTTGCGTTGATCAGGGTTGGAGCTAAACTCTGCAAGCAGGTAGATCCACAGGAACATGGTTGGACACCCCTGATTTAGAGCTTTAAATTAATTAAAAAATCTAATTAAATTCCAAGCACTGATTTATGCCTGACCTCTGCTACGTGGTGCATTTCTGACCAGCATCCCTCATCTCTGCTTTTTTTCTTTCCTATTCTTGTCTCAACGTAGGACCTGAACAAGAAACAGACATTGAAGGACCTGGAATGTGCCATGTTGCTCCGCCATCATGAGTCAACTCAGGAGCTGGAGTTCAGACAGCTGGCTCTAGTGCAGCGCACACGGGCTGACCTGATCCGCACACAGCATCAGACCGAACTCACCAACCAGATGGAGTATAACAAACGGCGTGAGCAAGAGCTGCGGCAAAAGCACGCTGTTGAAGTCCGCCAGCAGCCCAAGAGCCTGAGAGTGAGTGACTCAGACATCACAGAGAATACCACAGAAGGGGCGGGGCTTGATATTGAAGGGGTTGAGCCACAGGATGAAGAGAAGAGGGATGGAGAAAAGATAGATGGGGATGAGATGCAGCCTTTAGGTGCTGTTGAAGAGACGTCTGAGCAAGAGATGAGGGAAGTAAATGTTCTTGAGGAAAATGACACTGAAGAGACGTTAACTGACCAATGTGATGTAATAGACAGTGAAGGAAAAGTGGAAGAGTTGGCAGAATCAGCTGACAATGTTAATGAAAGTGCAGATAAATCACCTAAAATTGCAGATGAAGAGCAGGTTGAGGACAAAATTGATAATGATCTTAGACAAGTAGAGGGTCTTCAGTGGGATGGCGAAAGTGAGTCAGATTCTGCGGAAGAGGATAGAGGCGTCGCTGATGGCTGTCCGTCAGAGCTAATACCCGGCCCTTCTTTTGAGCGCCGCCCTCTTGAACGGGACCTAGATGAACTCTCGGAGTTCTACTTCCCGGATACATTAGAGGAGCTGGAGCCTCCACCGGTCTACATACCTCCCTCTCCATCCTCCTCTTCCCAACCTTCCCTTCCCTCACTCTTTTCTCATGCGATCTGCCTCGTTCTTTCACTGTCCGCTGCAGTGCAGCCATCCGTCCTCACGCTTCTTTTACTTTCCATCTTTCTGCTTTCCTTGCGTCGTTCGCCTCCACTTCCATCACTTGCTTCAATCCTTCTTTCTGGGGAACTTGCTTTCCTGGCGCTCTTCTTTTCCTACTTATTCCTGCGTTCCTGCTGCTCTCTCTCGTTTTCCACCTACCTCTTGCTAACATATTGGGGCTCAGGCCTGTTCAGTTTAGCTTTGTCTTTAAGCTTGGGACTCTACTACGTCCCCATAGCTCTGATCTCTGCATCGTTTCTCAGCTCGCCTTCCCTTTTCCTCACTCTCTACCTTATTGTGGTCTTGGTCGTCCGGCCGGCAAGGGTTTTCCTCCAGAACACCCCACGCAAACTCAATCGCCTGTGGATGCGAGTTCTCTTCCGCTTGCCAAAGCCGCTTTTCACTGTTTGCCAGTCTGTTCTGGGTGGCCTGACCGAGCGCAGCCTCTACGACATGTTTCCCAAAGCTGGACGCAATTGGGGAGGACGGCAGTCCAGGATCCCTGTGCCTTTAAAGAGCCTCCATACTGCGCAGTATCAGGCTAAAAGCAAACACTCTCTTCTGTTTGCTCGGATCCTCCTTATGGGGCGCAGGTTTGTCCGTCGGCCTCTCGGCACTCTCACAGACCTGGCTAACTCCATGGTGCTGCATATAGCCAAACGTGTGCTGAAGGAGCTGCCGCAGAATTACCTGAAACGCCTGCAGGAGTTCGGGTTGCTCCGCAAGGAGAAAACCAGCAAGCTGCCGGTTCTCCTGCCACGAATGGTGCGGGAACACAGGAGGAGGATGAGGGAGAGGAGAGAGACGGAGAGAAGGAGACGAGTGGAGAGAGAGCGGATGTACAGGGAGGAGGGCAGGTGGGAGAGTGTTTTGAGGAGAACCGCTTCAGGGAGGAGCTTGAAAGGAAAAATGGTGCCTTGGAGATAGCTTGAGACAAGGGAATGAAGGTATGCGAGCACGCACATGCCATTGTTTCTCTGATTTGATTTAGAGCACTCAGTTGAGACAACAAACCATAAGAGTGACTTCAACTTTAGGACGCGTGAAGATATTCTTAAGACATCTGATTCTTTTCTGTCCCCCTAATGAAAATCCAAGTTGCTAAATTTTAAAGTTGATTAATGTTTAATTTCAGGTCTTGCGGAGAGTTTTTTTTTTTCCGCATGGATTAAAGCACTCGGTTCATGTGGATCTGTTTAATGATAGCTTTTTTGATCTTGTAAAATTTAGTTTACAGGATTTTCATTAGAGGAACGGGATTTTAGCATCCAATATCTTAAATAGTGTTTCACTCGAGCAGACTCTTAAGGAGATAGTTCAACCGATAATGAGAAGTTTAACTTCATTTACTCACAAACAAGTTGTTCTTTCCTTTGTTGAGCACAAAACGGGATATCGTGAATCAATATCCTTCGACATCCATAGCAGAAACCGGAATACTATGGAAGTCAAAGGCTGCTGCTTTCATACGTACTTCAAAATGTTGTCTTTTGTGTTCAGCAGAAGAAAGTCTGAACAAATCGAGTATAATATAGAGTAAATGATGACAGAATTTTCATTTTTGAGCGAACAATCCCTTTAAGGCTGTTGGACAACATGAGGGTTAGCTGAAGACGACACGGTTTTTATTTTGGGTGAACTACCCCTTTAAGATTTATGTACTGTTTTATTTCAGCTCACTCAATCACAGTCGGTTGCCAGTGAATGGAAAGCTTTAGTCGATTATTGTGCTTTTTGTAAAAGTTTCTGGGTTTTATTATTATTATTATTATTTTTAACTTTTGTTTTATTCTCAAATAGCAAGAGCTATAAGTGTTATGGTGATTTTTAAAGCCATGTCTGTGCAATCTTGATTGAGTTTTCGTTTTGAAGGGGGTCTTAATTTCTACAATGCAATTGTATTTTATTGTTACACCAAAGTGATCTTGGGAAAACAATAACAACAACCATCATATGCCTTTCAGTTAAGCCATGCATGTTTAATGCAAAATAGTTTTCCACCCGTACTGTGAATGTGGATTATAATACAGTGCTTTACACTATAGATCTGCCCAAAAAATGCAACACTACAAGCTTATTCAACCAAAAGTGCAATAGAAGGTTAAATATTAAGCACCACCATTTTACCTACTTTTCAAAAGCATACTCATTAAAAAAAGTAGAATTTTATTGAAATCAAGGCACCACATTTTCTCGAAATCAGTGTTTCGTATTATTTCAGACTCTTCAGAACCACTAAAAGCAGCTAAAATACATATTCAGAGATTTTAAGAGTCCTTTCACTGGAGGTTTAGGAGGCAAGGCCTCATAAATGACAATCAAATGCTTGAATTATATCTGTGTCCTTGCCAAAATGCTCAATTTCACTCCATCAGACGGACGAGCCATCCTAAATGCTGTTCAGATCTGCCACTTTAGCAGTGAACTTTATTGAATGTTGATGTTAATTTAAACCTTAATAACTTTAGACTAGAGATATAGGTGATCTGTTATTCATTTAGTATATAATATATACAGTTTTATAGAGAAAAAAATGTTAAGGGGGAATCTGCTATTTTCCTGTTGTATTACTACATATGAGGGTGATTATAAATTATATACGTTTGTATTTTAGGGCCCAGTTTAATTTTACTCTGCAGTATACACACAACTGTTTGAGGCCTGGCGAATTTGGGTTTGTCTGTATTTAGAAGAATGTGTTATTGCACTAGAGGCAATGATCTGATCATATTTACCATGTAAACAAGTGTTTCGGTCATATCCTTATGAAGTGAGGCTTAGCCTGTTTAGATGAAGCGGTTATGCAAGACTTTAAATGCCGTTTAACGATTAATCACACCTAATTGCACACAAAAGAAAAGTTTGCGTTTACATAACTGTACTGTGCATCTTTGTGTATTTATAAATGCACACAAATATGTGTGTACATGTTTAAAAATGTTTCTTTATATTTATATATAAAATATTTTTATATACACAAATTTTATTTAAATATTAATATAAACTGTAAAAAGCAATTAGTTGTCTTTACTTTAAAAATGTGAGTAGACCCATTACTTTTAAAATGATTAGTTGACTTGACTTGATAAATTATGTAAACCCACTGGTTTTAAAGCGGTTACTTGACTTAATAAAGCGAGTAAACCCATTGATTGTAAAGCGATTAGTTGATTCAATTTAATAAAGTCAGTACAGTCATTGCTTTTAAAGCGATTTGTTGAATGAATGAACTGAGTAAACCCATAACTATTAAGTCGAGTCAATCACTTTAAAATCAAGTAAATCCATTGCTATTTAAAGTGATTAGTTGACTCAACTCAAAGTAAACCTTTTCCTTTTAAAACGATTTGTTGACTAAATAAAATGATTAAACCCATTGATTTTAAAGTGGTTAGTTGACTTAATAGTAAGTAAATCTGTTGCTTTTTAAAACGATTAGTTGACATAATAAAACGAGTAAACCTATCGATTTTAAAGCGACTCAACCTTCTAAACCTACTAAAGTGCAGCCATTGCTTTTAAGTGATTTGTTTACTCGACTCAATAAAGTGAGTAAACCCATTGATTGTAAAGCGATTAGTTTATTTGATTTATTAAGGTAAGTACAGCCATTGCTTTTAAAGCGATTAATTGACTTGACTTAATAAAATGAGTAAACTCATTGATTTTAAAGCGGTTAGTTGACTTAATAGTGAGTAAATCTGTTGCTTTTTAAAGCGATTAGTTAACTCAACCTACTAAAGTACAGCCATCGCTTTAAAAAGCGATTAGTTGACTTTAAAAAGTAAGTAAACCCATTGCTTTTAAGTTGAGTAAAATAATCACTTTTAAAGCAAGTAAATCCTTTGCTTTTTAAAGCGATTAGTTGACTCGACTTAATGAAGTAAACGCTTTTCTTTTAAAAGGATTAGTTGACTTAATGAAGTGAGTAAACTCATTGATTTTAAAGCGATTAGTTAATTCGACTTAAAGTGATTTGTTAACTCGACTTAATAAAGTGAGTAAAACCATTGCTTGTAAAGTGATTAGTTGACTCAACCTAATAAATTGAGTAAACCCATTGATTGTAAAGAGATTACTTGACTCGGCATAATAAAGTGAGTAAATTTATTGATTGTAAAGCGATTAGTTGATTCAATTTAATAAAATAAGTACAGCCATTTCTTTTAAAGCGATTAAATGACTTGACTTAATAAAATGAGTAAACCCATTGGTTTTAAAGTGGTTAGTAAACTTAACTTACTAAAGTACAGCCATTGCTTTTTAAAGCGATTAGTTGGCTTAATAAAACGAGTAAACTCATTACTTTTAAAGCGAATAGTTGTCTCGACTTAATAAAACGAGTAAACTCATTACTTTTAAAGCGACTAGTTGTCTCGACTTAATAAAGTGAGTAAACTCATTGCTTTTTAAAGCGATTACTTGACTTAATAAAGTGAGTAAACTCATTGCTTTTAAAGCGATTACTTGACTTAATAAAGTGAGTAAACTCATTGCTTTTAAAGCGATTAGTTTGCTCGAATTAATAAAGTGAGTCAACCCATTGATTGTAAAGCGATTGCTTAACTCGACCTATTAAAGTGAGTACAGCCATTGATTGTAAGGCAACTACTTGACTCGACTTAATGAAGTGAGTACAGCCATTACTTTTAAAGCGACTAGTTGTCTCGACTTAATAAAATGAGTAAACTCATTGCTTTTAAAGCGACTAGTTGTCTCGACTTAATAAAATGAGTAAACTCATTGCTTTTAAAGCGACTAGTTGTCTCGACTTAATAAAGGGAGTAAACTCATTGCTTTTTAAAGCGATTACTTGACTTAATAAAGTTAGTAAACCAATTGCTTTTAAAGCGATTAGTTGGCTTGAATTAATAAAGTGAGTAAACCCATTGATTGTAAAGCGATTGCTTAACTCGACCTATTAAAGTGAGTACAGCCATTGATTGTAAAGCAATTACTTGACTACTTAATGAAGTGAGTACAGCCATTACCTTTAAAGCGATTAGTTGACTACTTAAAGTGCGTAGACCCATTGCTTTTAAAGCGATTCATTGACTTAATAGTGAGTAAATCTGTTGCTTTTTAAGTGATTAGTTGACTTGACTTAATAAAATAAGTAAGCTTATTGATTTTAAAGCGATTCATTGACTTAGTGGGTTAATCCGCTGCTTTTTAACCGATTAGTTGACTTGACTTAATAAAATGAGTAAACTCTTTGTTTTTAAAGTAATAAGTTGACTTGACTTGAGTAAACCCACTGCCTAAAAATTGTTAACCAATTATAACAGATCTAAGTTGTAACAGGGTTACTCACATTTTTAAGAGTAACTAATCTTTTTTACAGTGTATATGTAAATATTATATAGATGAGTGTGAGTTATATATATATATATATATATATATATATATATATATATATATATATATATATATATATATATATATATATATATATATATATACACACATAATAATTATACACAATACAGATGCATATACCATGTAAATACAAACTTTATTTTGTGCTCAGTCACATGTAATTGTTAAACCGCATTAAAGACTTTCATAGGTTAGCTCTTTTTTTTTTTTTTTTAAGTGTTAGCATGGCACTGTTGTTTTATATTTATTAGTACTGTATTTCTGCATATCATAGGCTGTAATAAAAAGCCATTATGACAATCGTCCTAATGTAAGAAAGAAATGCCAATTGACAACCAAAGATTTAACGACATAAGAAATGAAGATGTTGGGATTGATGAATGTAGCTTGCGCCGATCACAAAGTGCCTTTATTTTAAATGAAAAATACACACCAAATATTAAAAAGTCTTCACTGAAATCTTAAGGTTATCAAAGGGACCATTTGTGAACAAAATGGGACAGAAATAATAAGGAAATGCAATATATTTAAATTTCTTAAGCCATATTTGTCCAAGTTATTGGCAAATTTACAATTTCAGCATTCATTTTGATGTATTATTTTCATTTTGTTACTTTGTTTACAAATGCTGTGCTCCCTTATTCCCTTTTTTTTACCCAAATCACAGATTCTGTCTTAATTATTTGAGGAATGTTTGTGTTATTTTATGTGTTGTTGCACCGTCTGTTTCAAGGCCGTTGTGTGTGCATTTCATCCTCATTTTGTGTTTGTGCATGAATGGATGTTTATACGGAGATTTCTGTTTTATGCTTTTGAAATAAATTTTCTTTATTACAATCATTGTCCTTTGGTTTGATTTTGCTTTTGTTATGCTTTTTGGATTATACTTCATGTCAGTTTTATGTTTTCCACTTACACATTCCATGACGCTACAGCTTTATTTTACTTTTAACTGTTTGTTATACTTCTGATCATGATGTATTCTTGAGGGCCGTTTCTTTAACTAAAGACAGACCATATCCATTTTGGCTGTTTATATTCTTTTATATGACAAAGGCCACCAGTAAATGCAACAAGTCGAAGATTTTAAAGGTTCAGATTTTGAGTGAGATGCTAATGGTCTAATCCCATTTAATGATCTATGCTAAGCTAAGCTAAAAGTGCTCCTTCCAGACCCGGAGATCAGCTGAATGGATTCAGAAATGGTAAAATTCAATGGTTTAACTCTAGGGGCTATTTGAAGGATGGAATAATATAGACTGGACCCCGGCACATTGTCTAACAGGGTTGTGCTTGTTCTCCTAATGAGTGCTGGGTGTGTTTTTAGCATAACGTGCATTAAACCAATCAGAGTCTTATCTCCCATTCTCTTTAAAAGTCAGTAGTGCTCCGTGACGCATTTGCTATTTACACCGCAGACTTTGTAATTGTAAAAACTGAACGCTTCACTAGCGACAAAACAGTTAAACAGAGAATCTGCAGCGCGAGGATAAAGAATGAGCCTCCTCCATTCGACCTCTTTACTCTTCACTCCTTTCCTTTCATGGATAAGAAAACGGTGAAAACTCACTCCACTAAAGAAATTCATTTGCCTACATATTTAATTTAGTTTAAGCGCAAAGATTTGCCTCAACTATTTCAAAATTCAGTTATAATTTCCGGCAAACGAATAAATAAACAATAATAATGAAGTGTGGTCAAAAACCTGAGTCATATCCAAATACGCGTCCTGTTCTTATGCCCCATATGTTGATGCAGACGTCTCTAAAAGCCGACAGGTGGACAAATCTAACCTTGTTTTTATCAAAACAAATATAAATATGCATATAATAAAGAATACTGTAATAATATTAATAACATTATACAAAAGCAAGATGTCATGAATACACTGAAAAATCCCCCCTGATGTGTAGAAGGCATGTAGTGTTTTTATATGTAGAAAATAAGATTTTTTAAAAGATTTAATCCTAAAGACCTGCATAGGCAGGTAACTAACGCACTCTGTGCTGGACTTTAGAGCAGCTTTTAGTTGGTCAATGGCGCAGTCTATTTCAGTTCTTCAAAACGCACATCAAGTAACATTAAATAAAAAAAATGAACTATATATATATATATATATATATATATATATATATATATATATACACACACACACACACACACATTTGAAGTCAGAATTATTCACCCCCCTTTTTATTTTTTTTCCCTTCTGTTTAACGGAAATATTTTTTTAACACATTTCTAAACATAATTGTTTTAATAACTCATTTTGATCACAATTGATTAAATACTGATGAATCACAACTGATTTATTTTATCTTTGTCATGATGACAGTAAATAATAATTTACTAGATATTTTTCTAGACACTTCTATACAGCTTAAAGTGACATTTAAAGGCTTAGCTAGGTTATTTAGGGTAATTAGGTAAGTTATTGTATAATGATGGTTTGTTCTCTAGACTATCAACAAAAAAATTAGCTCAAAGGGGCTAATAATTTTGACCTTAAAATGTTTTTTTTTTTAATTAAAAACTGCTTTTATTCTAGCCAAAATAAAACAAATAAGACTTTCACCAGAAGAAAAACTATTATCAGACATACTGTGAAAACTTCCTTGCTCTGTTAAACATCATTTAGGGAATATTTAAAAATGAAATGAAAATAATTAAATAGGGGGCTAATAATTCTGACTTCGTGTGCACATGCGCGTGTGTGTGTATGTAAAGGTGTTGACCTAAATATTTCAAGGTAGTGCCGATTAACTGAATGAATGTTAATGTTTCCATCAAAACTCTAGTGCACAATATTAAAAATCTTTAAAATTAGTTATTTTATTCATATAATTAATTTAAATAAATAGCCGTAGTTACTTTAATGTGTAGGCCAATACCTTGCTTATTATACCTACCCTTTATACTTGATTAACTGAAGAACGACACTTTCTGCTAAACTCATATGAATAAAAAAAAATTAAAAAAAAATAAAATAAAATAAAATATATATATATATATATATATATATATATATATATATATATATATATATATATATATATATATATATATAGAAATTATATATATGCAAATATTTGTTCTATACAAATCTGCCCATTTAAAAAAAAAAAAAATTTAAGAAATTTAAAGAAGAAAATACACTGGAAGGATATATTTAATGTACCATACAGTCTAAAGCAAGCAAAGTACTTTTTAGTTGTCTGAGTTTCTTTCCTCTGTTAAACACAAAAGAAGATATGTTGAAGGAAGCTGCAATCATTGACTTTCATTGGAGCTGTTTTTCTGGAAGTCAATAGTTAAAAGTTTTCAGCTTTCTTCAGCTTATTTGCTTTTGTGTTTAACAGAACTTGCAACCACATGAAGGAGAGTAAATGCATTTTTGTG